GAACCATGAGCCAATTCAATCTCTTTTCTTAAAAATTATCCAGTCTCGGGTATTTCTTTATGGCAATGCAAGAACAGCCTAATACAGTGGCCAAACACAAAAGAAGTTTATTTCCCTTTCATGAAATAGTCCAGTCTGGGCATGATGCCTCACTGTAATCCTAGCACCTTTGGGAGGCCTAGACAGAAGGCTCGCTTGAGCCCAGGAGTACGAGCCTGCAGTAAGCCATAGTCACTCCACGGCATTCCAACCCTGGGTGACAGAGCAAGATCCTGTCTCTTAAAAGGAAAAAAAAAAATCAAAGCAAGTTTTCTCTCAATCGGTGATTCAGGAACCCAAGCTTCTTTGAGTTTATCCCTCTACTAACCACTAGGAGGAGGATGTAGGGATGAAAGTGGGAAAGGTACCAGGAAAGTGGGCTAATTTTTAAAACCCTTGGCATAGAAGTAACATACATCACTTTCACTCACATTTCATTGGTGAGAACAAGTCACGTGACCATATCTAGCTGCAGAGTGTTGAAAAATACAGTCGCTAAATAAGCAGCCACCTCCCAGCAGCAATTCTGTAGAAAACAAAAGGGAGAACTCACATTTTTTTGTTTTGTTTTGTTTTTGGACAACTAGCCAATTCCACCTAAGCAACTATGAATGTGCCTCACTCTTGCCTCCACTGATTTTCTTCCCCAGTCCCAGAAGGCCCTTCTCTCTTCTCATTGCCCATCCACACCTCAGCACCCTCCTGGTAATTCACCTCCACCAGAATTCCCAGTAAAAAGTTTCCCATCATTTATATTCGGGTGTAGCTAAAATAACTTTCCTCAAGAGTTTGTTGTTTCCTTGAGGATATTTTTAATGATCATTATGACGTTAAAGAACAAGAGTTGCTCTTCTGCTGTTAATCAAAAGGAAAAAATAAACTGATTGCATTTTTAAAGTTTGATTAAAGACTTACTAAAGTATCCCATCAGATTTGTTTGCAAAAAATTAACAAATAAATAAAGTAAATAGGTTACAAAAGGTGCCTAAAATAATTAACATCTCAACATTAAAACCTAAGTGTCTTCCTGAGATGAATTAATACTTTCTAAAATCATCTCTAGCTCCTGCTATCTAAAGTGAGTTATTGAGGTGATCTGTGTGGTCTAAAATCTATTAAAACTAACAATGTGAAAATAGCATAAAGAATGACCCATTTACCATTGCAAGCAGTAGGAAACTGACCCAAACGAGCTTAAACACAAAGGGAACTTATTGTTTCCCATAAGATGAAAAGTCCAGGGGTAGAATAACTTTCAGATGTGGCTTAATCCTGAGTTCAACCAATGCCATCAGGACCATTTTTCTACATCTCTTGGCTTTGTGTCATAACGGGATGGCCACAATGGTTCTAATCCCTACACCCTCCTTTAGGTCCCACAGATAAGAGTTGCCTAATGATGAAAACATCATTGTGATTCATTAAATCTGACTAACTATGAGTTGACTATGACTTATCTCAATTCTCTAGAGGGGTTTGAGGAAGTTCAATGTCCCATTCTAGTTTGGAGCTAGTTGAGAGAAAGATCCAGGAGCCAAGTAGAGAAGCATTAAAATGTCAGCCTTACTCATGGCTTTAGGTCTGCTAACCAAATGAGCTTGCTAATTCCCAAATTAGATGGACCTGCCCGATCACAGACATGCAGTCTCCCATGGGGGTCTGCTCCTGTGATGTACAGCATTGAGGAGCATAGAAAGCTGTCTGCACACTGGTAGGTCACTAAGAGAAAACAGAAAGGGACTGAGAGTCAGCTACTGTACCCAAACTCACTCATCAGCTAGCTCACTCTTCCTCCCTTGAGGGGAAAAGAAAAGGGGGATACAGGGAACCAAGGAGCTGGGAGTGTTGTTCTGAAAAAGTCCATACACACAGAAACAGAAGAATAGGGAATGTCTCCTCCCAGCCTATAACAGAACAGAAAATGATAACAACAGATGTCAACTACAAGTAGAAAATGAGACTTAACTTTTAAATACACAGAGTAAAACATATACATCCAAATGGTTAGAGTGCTCAGCATTTTTAGTTATGAAAACATATTTCTCTCACCTGCCATGGAGACCCCATAATACCCTTGAGATATTACAGTTCACAGTGGTTGCCATTATCTGATTTAGCATTTTCCTACAGGTGAAAGATAAGTGTCTTAGTCCCATCTGCTGTAACAAAGCCTGGGTGGCTTACAAACAACAGAAATTTCCCACCATTCTGGAGGCTGAAAGTCAGAGATCAGGGCGCCAGCATGGTGAGGTGCTGGCAAAGACTCTCTTCCAGATCGCAAACTGCCAATTTTATGTTGTATTCTCCCAAGGTGGCAAGCAGAGGAACTAGGCCTCCTGCCTCTTTGTATGAGGCACTAGTCCCATTCTTGAGGGTTCTTTCCTCATGACCTGATTACCTCCCAAAGGCCTCACCTCCAATCCATCGCATTAGGGATTACATTTCAGCATATAAATTTGAGAGGGACAAAAATATCCAGTGCATAACACCAAGTATAAAAGTGGACTTAATTTATGTTTCTGCCCTAGGATGAAGTAGGAATGAGTAACCAGAAGAATACAGTTGACAGTTTAGGAAAGAGATTCAAACAAAATAAATAGGAAATTCATACTGATCTGGATCTGACTCTAGAATGTAAGCTCCATGAAAAAAACTCCCTTGTCTGCACCACTGTATTTCTCCCCAGTGCCTAGAATCGGGCCTCTGGCATATAGTAAAGGTTCAATAAAATTTGCAGAATGAGTTAGGAGGGGAAGCTTTGAAATCAGAAAAAAAAAATCTTTTTTTTTTTTTTTTTTTTTTTTTTT